AACTGGTAGCAGAAATTTTTAGTAGTTTGGAGAACTGGCAAACAGGCTGGCCCCACCCCCACCCCCTCCCATCCTCCTAGCTGATCTTCTTTTGTTGCCCTGAACAGGAGAACCGAGCTGGAAAGAAGGTTAGTGGGGTGGGGAGGGAATGGGGATTTTGCAGAACCTTCTCCCAGGAGTGGGGAGGGAATGGGGATTTTGCAGTATCCTTCTGTCCTGCCCACAAAGCCATGCCCACAGAATCGGTAGTAAAAAATGTTGAATCCCATCACTGGTGGGGAGGTACAGACTTGGATTCAACCCCAGCAAGATGGAATGACTTGCAGCATCAGAGTTAAAAGACAACTGATTCTAAAAACAGCTGAACAGCTCTAGTTCCTGAGAAAACGTTGGCTCAAAATCTGGGGGCACTTCTGAATAGCAGGTGGGGAGGCCATGGCTAGAAAGCCCTTTGTGCGATTATATCTTATATGCCATTTAAAACCATTTCTGGAAAAAGGAAGCTTTGTTAATGATTGTTCATGCCCTTGTCAACGCATGTCTGGACAACTACAATGCAAATCCACCCTTGCACACCGATTGGGAGCTTCACCTGGCTCAGCATGTGGTGACAAAGTAATTATGGACATTCCTAGGTTTGCCCATAAAACATAATTATGTGAGCTGCATTGCCTGTGAGTTGCTTCTCAGTGCAAGTCCTTAGAAGAACAGAAGCAGTTGAGCGTTCATCTGAAGCAGGGGTGTCAAACTCAAAACTTGCAGGCCACATCCAGTCCATGGAGTGCTTAATCTGGCCCACAGGGCCACCCTGGAAACAGTGAAGGACCAGCCTGCGGTGCCTCTGCCAGTGAAAATGGAGCTCAGGCGGGCCGCACGCAGCCCACCCAAGCTCTGTTTTTGGCTGCCACAGCCTCTGCAACCCTCTGTTAGGGAAAATGGAGCTTGGAAGAGTTGTGCTTTCGCTGACAGAGCACTCGGGGCACCACAGGTGCCCCCAACATGAGTGATGTTCAGGTGGCCCTGCCTATGCTGGCCATGCTGCTTGGCCCTCCTGAGGTCAAACACAATCCTGATGTGGCCCTCAATGAAATCAAGTTTGACACCCCTGATCTGAAGGTTCTATGCTGTTCATCTGTTTTGTATTGGCACCAATTTGGTTGATAGCCATCATTTTGCTGGATACTTACCCCTTGGAAAATATCTACAGTCACAGTCTCATTATTTTCAGGAAAGTTGGGGAAAATGCTCTGATTCAAGAATAAACTCTGATTGGCACAGACATCATGCTGGATTATATAAAACAAAAGAAAAAGAAAACCAAAACTGTTTCATTAGAAATCAGAAACAGGCCTATTACAAGCACCTTGGAGCAGCAAATTCCTGCACTCTTTGCTCTGCCATAGAAAGACCAGCCTGCTGTTTGAGAAATTGTAGGATAACTCTACCTTAAATCTTTTTAGTGCTATTAACATCTTCCAATATTCCTTGTCATCCCATTTTGTATCACTGTGTATCTGTGTAAATTCTCTAGAACAAATTACAACTCTCACACAAATAGGTGGGATCCGCAGGTCTGTCGTTATGCTCCTTACCATCACTTGTACCCCATTTTTCCAGGCTTTGTTGCCTATAAGGGCAAGCTTCCTGTATTTAATGGTAGGAGCACTTCTGTTATATGGCAATGCTGTAAAAAATTGCTTCAGTTTTCTTCCTTTTTCACAACTGGTAAAAGGAAGCTTTTACTGCATTGGTTTGCACGAATGGGTTCCTGTTTCTTTGACTATATCACTGATACATAGTATAGGACATTCTACCAGATGGGCTAGGATAGGCAAATAGGACAAGTATGGCCAATTCCTATTTGGCTGAAGAAATAACTCTGGGTCACAGCGAGAGAGAGAGAGAAAGAGAGAGGGAGGGAGGGAGGGAGAGAGAGGGGGGGAGGGAGGGAGGAAGAGAGAGAGAAAAAGAGAGAGAGGGAGAAATATGACTTTAATTGCCACTGTCTAAGTGCTTCTCCCATGGGGATGCAGTGGGTGATTTTCTTTCCTGGTTTTAAAAACAATTTTCTATATCCTCCCAGCTTAATCTGACTGTTTCCTAATTGCTTGATTGATTCATATCTATCTATATTTTGCTTTTCCCTCCAAATTTGACCCTCTTTAGTTTCCTTTGGGAAAGCTCTTAGGCTTATGGACAGACAGGATCCCCAAGTCCATTTCTATCATTTTCTATGGTCAAAAGAATAAAAGGCTATATGTAGGGGGAAAGATATTATAGGTGTTAATGTCAGAATGGGCTTTAAGGGAAAATGTGTGTGTGTGTGTGTTTCCCTCACTTACCGCTTCCTGGTTGCTGCGTTGAAAAAAAGCCTGGCCAAACACAGACATGACAAAGAGATTGATGAGGAAGGAAACAAAGAGTGCAATGGTGGATTCAATCAGAAAGTACATATTGGCTTCTTTCACTGCTTTCTGGTTGGTGCGATCTACTTCTCGGGTCTGTTGGGAAAACAATACAATGTTGTTAGTTGCGAAGTTGTGTCCAACCCTTTGCAACCCCATTGACAACATTCTTCCAAGACTTCCTGTCCTCTAACATCCTCTGGAGTCGATTTAAACTCATGCCTCATGCTTCAATGACTCCATCCAGCCACCTCATTCTCTGCCGTCCCTTCTTCTTTGGCCCTCAATCTTTCCCAGCATTAGGCTCTTCTCCAGTGAATCCTTCCTTCTCATTGGATAGCCAAAGTATTTGAGTTTCAACTTCAGGATCTGGCCTTCTAAAGAGCAGTCAGGGTTGATCTCCTCTATGACAGACCAGTTTGATGTCTTGCAGTCCAAGGAACTTGCAGGAGTCTTCTCTAGCACCATAGTTCAAAGGCCTCAATTCTTTGGTGCTCAACAATGCAATAGCTTCTACTTTTATGTATGCCACAGGATGTTCCAGTGGTCTTGCCCCCTCCCCATAGGACCCAGGTTGTTAGGGCAGAGAGGACTGCTGCATTAACAATATGGGTTGTCTTTGGGCATTTCCAAACAGAGCTTTGGAGTTAAGTCATTTTGATGTCAAACTGCATTGACTTGGAGTAGCAGAGACAACTATCTTCCACTATCTATCCCCAAATATCAAATTGCAAAAATTCTGTTTTCCAGTTGAAGGTGGTGCCTGGGTGGTGACAGCTGTGGCCAAAAAAAAAGGCATAATGCTTGTTAGCTATACCCCCCACCACCACTGACAGTGGTTTCCACCAAGGTCCTCTGTTCCAGCGGGAACAGAGGTTTAATCCCATTGGTCAAAGGGTCTGACAGACTCCTTTAAAAGGGGCTGCTGTCCGACCCATCTCTCCTGGACTTTTGCTGTTTGCTTACTTGCAATAAAAATCTAACACTGGCGACGAAGGTGGGATTGGAAGGCAACTAGGCAAACAAAAAGAGCAAAAGAGATTCTGCAAGTACATCCAACCTGGAGTCCTGGAGGGCATCGAGCAGCCATCGCTGAGTGGCAAAATTGAATCACCCTCTCTTCGTAGGATGGCTATGCACGCCCCACCAACTCCGTATGATCCAGTCACCGAGCACTGGGAATCGTACAAAATTGACAAACTCGTGAGCCAGGGCATCCTAGAGCCAGTCGATCACACACAATGGGAGATTCCTATTGTGATACCCGTCAAATCTGACGGGTATGTCAGCATCTGCACAGACTACAAGTGCACAATAAATAAAGTGTTACAACAAAGCGCCTACCCTGTACCCATTGTACACCACCTACTACATTCGCTAGGCCCAGGGAAAGTCTTTGCAAAATTGGACATGGTGCAGGCATACCAACAACTGCCAGTAGATGGCACTACAGCAGAGGCCCAAACCACTGTGATGCACAGGGGTGCATTCAAATGCCACCACCTGCAATTTGGAGTTAGTATTGCCCTGGGACTGTTCCAAAGTGTCATGGAACGGCTTTTGCAGGGGGTTCCAGGAGTCGTCCCCTATTTCGACAACATCTTGGTATTGGCTGCAAACGAGGTGCAACTTTTAAAACACATATGAACAGTTTTGGCCAGAATTAGAGACAAGGATTAGAGAATTAGAGCCTCAAAAAAGAAAAATGCCAAATTAATGTATCAAAGGTTGAATCCTAGGGTACCTGATCGATGGGTCTGGAATTCACCCGACCTCACAAAAAATTAAGGCCATTCAGGATACCCCCACACCTTGCAATCAAACCGAACTGCAGGTGTTCCTCGGGCTCCTTAATTTCTACAGCATCTTTCTCAAACAGAAAGCCATCATTGCTGAACCATTACATCACCCCCTGGCCAAGAAAACGAAGTGGTCCTGGGGCAAAGCTGAGACTACTCTATTTGCTGCAGTAAAAGGACTCCTGTCAGCAGATTCCTTCCTAGTCCAATACAGCCAGACCTTGCCGTTGGTGCTAACCTGTGACGCTTCTCCTTTTGGCGTTGGTGCTATCCTCAGCCACCTCATGCCTAACGGAACCGAAGCCCCTATTGCATTTTACTCCGGGACCTTGTCTGCTGTGGGGCGGAACTACAGCCAATTGGACTGTGAGGCTTTGGCTGCAGTGGCCGGAGTTACGAGGTTCCACGAATATCTCTACAGTCGGGACTTTGAACTGGTTACGGGCCACAAGCCATTGTTGGGTTTACTGGCTGGGGACTGCCCTACCCCGGTATCATTATCTCTCCGCATGACCAGGTGAACTATTCTCTTGGCTGCCTACTCCTACTGTCTCATTCACTGACCCAGCTCCACTTTGGGGGCACGCTGATGCCTTGAGCCGCTGCCCATTGCCTGAAGTTCTCGCTGACCCCATCCCCGAGACGCCGGTCCTTCTCATTAACTGCCTGGAGACCGGGCCCGTCATGTCTAGTGACGTTGCACATCATTCTGCGAAGGACTCCACAATAAAGCAAATTTTGAACTGGGTGTGGAGGGGGTGGCCCAAAGGGCCTGTTGGGGCTGATTTCAAAATGTATTTTGCTAAACGCGATGAGTTGTTGGTGGTTAACAGGTGTTTACTGTGGGGAGACCAGGTAATTATTCCCACCAAACTGCACATTGCAGTATTAGAAGCTTTACATGTAGGGCATCCTGGAATCATCAGGATGAAGTCTCTGGCTAGGAATTACGTATGGTGGCCTAACATGGACAGGGAGATTGAAGAATGGGTGGCTACCTACACGCCGTGCCAGGAATCCAGACCGTCTCCCCCAGGGGCGCCCGCTAAGGAGTGGGAGCAACCACAAGCACCATAGTCCAGGGTACACATTTACTTCACTGGCCCCGTATATGGCCAGACATTCTTCATAGTTGTGGACGCTTACTTGAAATGGTTAGAAGTAGTCCTGATGACCTCCACTATGGCATCAAGGTGCTATGGAGACTTTTCTCCACACACGGCCTGCCCGACGTCTTGGTCTCTGACAACAGGCCCCAATTTACGGCCATGCAATTTGAGACCTTCCTAGCATCTCAGGGAATCAGGCATGCCCTGGTCACGCCATTCCATCCGGCCTCCAATGGTCAGGTGGAGAGAATGGTGAGATCTGCAAAACAGGCCCTCACTAGGATGGGCCCAGGTGATTGGCAAACATGGGTTGACCACTATTTACTGATCCAGCACATCACACCCAGTGCCACCACGGGGAGAAGCCCCTCCAAACTTCTCATGAGGCGCTAGTTAAGGTTACACTTAGACTGGTTACACCCCAATTATTCTGCCTCATCACCCCCAGACTCCACAAGCAAGATTCAGTCTTTTAGCATAGGGGATTCAGTATACGCCCATAACTACGCCAGGGAAACTCTGTGGATTCCTGCCACAGTAATAGGTATTACCGGCCCTTGATCATATCTGGTAGAGCTCGAGGACAGTAGAAATTGGAGAAGGCATATTGACCAACTCCGTAGCCGCATTTCCAACTCCACTCTTAGACAACTAGTGGTAACTCCTACACAAGTTAGCCAAAGCCCTACCCAAAAAGAATGAAATAGCAGTCCTTCAACGACCAACTCAAGCCCGAGAGTACCGGAAGACTTATCTGATTTTGATGCAGGCCTGCAGCGAGCTCTGAGCGAGCCAACTCCAGAAGCTCCAGCTGCGGCCTGTGAAAAGTTCCAGGAGTTTCCACCAAGCGGGGCTGCGGAGCAAACAAGTCTGTCCAACTTGTTCAAGGAAACCACTCCTATTGAACTGTGCAGGTCAAGCAGAGCTACCCAAAGGCCCACCTACCTGTGTGACTATCTTAACAGTTGGATTGTTCTATCCTAGAGGGGAGGGGTGTTAGATATCCCCCCCCCACTGGCAGTGGTTTCCACCAAGGTCCTCTGTTCCAGTGGGAACAGAGGTTTAATCCCATTGGTCAAAGGGTCTGACAGACCCCTTTAAAAGGGGCTGCTGTCCGACCCATCTCTGCCAAATGTTTGCTGTTTGCTTACTTGCAATAAAGAGCTGTTGTTACTGTAGCCTTTGTGTGCCTATCCATTGCCCGATCTAACAATGCTGACTGGTAGCCATGTTGCCGCTCTGCTCCTTCTCTCATTGTTCAAGGCTAGGTGAGGAAGAGCTGGCTGGCTCAGCTTGAGTTGTTGGAACCCGTGCAAGACAATCATGAGCTGTTCGGAGACGGGTTTGGAGGAAGACGGGAGTATTAAGAGCATTTGTGAGGGATAAAAGTGCCCCAAACCTGACAATGTGTAGGGGGACAATTGAAATCGATCCAACCATTTGAGAGTGTAGGTGAGGTCATCTATCAGACAAATCTAGGGATGGGTTGATGCTTCACAATAACCTCTGTTTAGAAGCCCCAACACACTATCCCAAACCGTGAGAAGTCAAGGACAAGGTTTAGCTAGGTTTTTATTCCAAATAAGTCATCCTAGTATTGACAAAAATCTACTGAGTTTAAGAATCTTGTTATATATTTGTGTGTGTGGCCTCAGGGTTTAAACCCTGGATTCCTTTCTCCTGCCGTCATCAAAGATTTTTTGTAGTCTGTTTCCCAGGCGTCATGTTAATGGCACTGCGCTGTGTTTACACAATCATCTGGTGTATTCTCGGGCTTCTTGTTTCCTGCCTTGTCAGCTTCAGTCCCATGAAGCTATCACATGCTTTGCTTTTCGCCCAGCATGACATATAAATGGCTTTGGGCTATGTGCAACCATTAAGGCTTCTCCAATAAAACATGCTTTAAAATAATATTGGCCGAGCATTACCCAGACTGCTTTCACATATACAGTACTTATATCGCGAATGCCATTTTCAAATAATTTCTTAATATCTGGGCATTATGTATTGTTTTAGTGATAAAGAATTTAGTGATAATTAAACTTTTGAGTTTGAATACGGTAGTTAATTATTTTAACTGAAAATACTGCAGTAATATGTCAGATTTACTATATTATAATTTTGTTCATATTCTAGGTTTTAAAAATAATTATAACTACACTAACAAAGGATTTTTCAACGTAGTAAG